AAGTGTTTTACAAACACATCTCATTTATTCCTCTGAATGACCCAATGAAATAGATATTATTACTATTTCTACTTATAGATGGGTGAGCAAGGCATCGTTGGCATGTGGTAGGCCATATAACAGTGACTAGAAGAACCAGAAAGAAAAATAAATGATATGAAAGGAGGATGGGGGAATAGCAAAGGCACCGGATCAGGCATTAGAGACTTCCCTGAGGAATGCAGTAAAAGCTCAAGTTGCATAGTAGGGCCATTAGAACTTACCCAGGTGAAGAGGCAGTGAGGGTCAGGAACAGTGTCTGAGGCAGATGGAACATAAAGGGTGAAGCTCTGCATGGGAATTCTAGTTTGGTGCACTTGGACTTGTAAATACCAGTGAGTCAGGAAGGACAGTTACAGGGTGAGCAAGGGCAGATTACAAGAACCTTGTTAAGGATTCTGTTTTTTTTTTTTTTTTTTTAATTCATATGTGCATACAAGGCTTGGGTCATTTCTCCCCCCTGCCCCCACCCCCTCCCTTACCACCCAGTCCACCCCCTTCCTCTCCCCCTTACCCCCTCAATACCCAGCAGAAATTATTTTGACCTTATTTCTAATTTTGTTGTAGAGAGAGTATAAACATAATAGGAAGGAACAAGGGTTTTTGCTGGTTGACATAAGGATAGCTATACAGGGATTCGACTCACATTAATTTCCTGTGCGTGTGTGTTACCTTCTAGGTTAATTCTTTTTGATCTCACCTTTTCTCTAGTTCCTGGTCCCCTTTTCCTATTGGCCTCAGTTGCTTTAAGGTATCTGCTTTAGTTTCTCTGCGTTAAGGGCAACAAATGCTAGCTAGTTTTTTAGGTGCCTTACCTATCCTCACCCCTCCCTTGTGTGCTCTCGCTTTTATCATGTGCTCAAAGTCCAATCCCCTTGTTGTGTTTGCCCTTGATCTAATGTCCACATATGAGGGAGAACATACATTTTTGGTCTTTTGGGCCAGCTAACCTCACTCAGAATGATGTTCTCCAATTCCATCCATTTACCAGCGAATGATAACATTTCGTTCTTCTTCATGGCTGCATAAAATTCCATTGTGTATAGATACCACATTTTCTTAATCCATTCGTCAGTGGTGGGGCATCTTGGCTGTTTCCATAACTTGGCTATTGTGAATAGTGCCGCAATAAACATGGGTGTGCAGGTGCCTCTGGAGTAACCTGTGTCACAGTCTTTTGGGTGTATCCCCAAGAGTGGTATTGCTGGATCAAATGGTAGATCGATGTCTAGCTTTTTAAGTAGCCTCCAAATTTTTTTCCAGAGTGGTTGTACTAGTTTACATTCCCACCAACAGTGTAAGAGGGCTCCTTTTTCCCCCGCATCCTCGCCAACACCTGTTGGTGGTGGTGTTGCTGATGATGGCTATTCTAACAGGGGTGAGGTGGAATCTTAGTGTAGTTTTAATTTGCATTTCCTTTATTTCTAGAGATGGTGAGCATTTTTTCATGTGTTTTTTGGCCATTTGAATTTCTTCTTTTGAGAAAGTTCTGTTCAGTTCACTTGCCCATTTCTTTATTGGTTCATTAGTTTTGGGAGAATTTAGTTTTTTAAGTTCCCTATATATTCTGGTTATCAGTCCTTTGTCTGATGTATAGCTGGCAAATATTTTCTCCCACTCTGTGGGTGTTCTCTTCAGTTTAGAGACCATTTCTTTTGATGAACAGAAGCTTTTTAGTTTTATGAAGTCCCATTTATCTATGCTATCTCTTAGTTGCTGTGCTGCTGGGGTTCCATTGCGAAAGTTCTTACCTATACCTACTAACTCCAGAGTATTTCCTACTCTTTCCTGTATCAACTTTAGAGTTTGTGGTCTGATATTAAGAAGGGATTCTGGTTTTTATTAAGGAGGGAAGCTGAAGTCATTAGTGGTTTTAAGCAAGAGGATGATTGCATTTTTTAAAAGATCACTCAAAAGAAAAAAAAATAAACAAAAAAAGAGAAAAAAACCCAAAAAGATCACTCAAGGTGTAAAGAGTGCAAGGGAAGAGTATACAGTTTCATTGGTAGTTGACTACTGAACTGGGCTAGGATGGTAACAGCAGTTAGAAGATAAGTGAGCACACACAAGAGAAATCTAGGAGATGCACTCAGTAATTGGGGTGTGAGGGAAAAGGAGAAAGCTACATTTCACACCCTCTTCTCTTCCTATCTCTTAAGTCCAGTCATTTAATAAGTCCCTTTCACTTCACTCATTGAGTTCATGAACATCTTTTCTACCTGTGCCTTCCTTAGCTCCACTGCCACTGGCCGAAATCAAGAGTCTGTCTACTTTCCGATGTTTTCCTCTCCTACCGTCTTCTATGCCATCTTAGCCATTTTTTTTTTTTTTTGCAGTGTTGGGGATTAAACACAGGGTCTCTTGAATGATAGGCATTCACTCTACCACTGAGCTACAGCCTCAACCCTATCTTAGCATGTGTTCTAAATCAGTCAAGTCAGTCTAAGCCTCACTATCTTACATTGAGTGTATTACACGATAAAGGTCAATCTCTTTCTGGTCTGGTCCCAATCTACTTAGCTAGTTTCTCCTTCCTCTTCTCAGGTCCATGCTGCTCAAGCGGCATCACACCCATTGAACCCCCAATGTCACCTGACAGTTGAAGCAAATGTTCCTTCACAGTCCTAAACTTGTGTATTTATTAAATATATTCTGCTTCATTCCTCAGAGGTCATGTGATCTTTCTATTGCCAGGAATTTGCAATTCCTGACAAGGAATTCCCTTGTCTCTGGTAAATTTCTATTCACACTTCAAGTCCCAGCTCAGCTACCAGTCTAGGATTTTCTAATACTCCTGTGCCCCAAATAGGATTAATTGCTTCCTTGTCTGTGCTCCTAAGGCACTTTACACATGTCTCTGTTCTAGTATGGTATTTATTTCATTGCATTATGGGTATCTAAGGAGCACAGGCTAATGCAATCAACAAATGCTCCTGACACAGGAAAGGTTATTGGTAGGATTAAATGGGACAATATATTTACAGTTAATATTTTCTTTCTTAATCCTTTTCCTAATAATACTAACAATGTGTATTGCAGTTTACAAAAGATTACATTACACATACTACCTGGATTAATCTGGGAATAAACCTATGAGATAGGGATGGTAATTATTATCTCTATCTCTATTTTATAGTTGGAGGAAGTGAAGTACCTAATAATTAAAAAGTAATAATGTAGGGGTTAGGGACATAGGTCAGTGGTGGAACTCTTGGGAGGCCTGGGGTTCAATCCCTAGCACTAAACAATAAGATGATGTAGCTGGCTAAGTGGTAAACCTGCCACACAACAGTTTTTCATTGCTATTCGTTAAAATTGAGTCAGGTTTTCTGGGTATAAAATGCGTAATTTATTTTTTAATTAACAAAAGTGTATATATTTATGGTACATAACATGTTTCACTATATATATATATATATATTCACACTGGGATGGCTAAATCAGCTAATTAATATATCCATTATTTCACATACTTTTTTTTTTCCCCATGGTGAGAACACTCTTTTTGGCAGTACTGGGGTTTGAACTCAGGGCTTCTAGCTTACTAGCCAGGTTCTCTATCACTCGAATCATACTTCCAGCCCTTTTTACTCTAGCTATTTTGGAAATAGGGTCTTGTTTTTTGCTTAGACTGGTCTGAACTTTGATTCTCCTATTTAGGTTTCCCACCTTAGCTAGGATGACAGTGCATGCCAACACATTCACTTTATTCTTGTTGAGATGGAGTCTCACAAACTTTTTTTGCCTAGGTTGACCTTGAACAGAGATCTCAGCCTCCCAAAGTACCTAAGGTTACAAGTGTGAGGCACTGGTGCCCCATTAGTGGAGAGAATGCTTAAGGTCTATTCTTGGACTGGGGACATAGCACAGTGGTAGTGTAGCAGGAAAGGGGGGGTGTAGAAAAGAAACACAGACTGTGTTCTGACGACGACAAGATAGGGAGAAGGGATGGCAAAGCAGAGAGATAAAACTTAAAAAATTGAAACATAAAGGTCACATAGCACTGGGAAAATGAAACAGCCAATGAAGTCACATACAGCCATAAGTGTGTTGAGCTTTGCTTTTTGCTTCTGTAACCTGCTTACAAGGGTATATAAGGTGAGACCCCTTTGTTCTTGGGGCTCAGCCTTTGGACAGGAGGCTACTGGGTCTGTCCGGGCACAATAAACGTTATTTCCTACTAATCTACCTCAGCGCCCCTATCTCAGCTCATAAGTTCCTGCAACAGTAGAGAGCTCATCTGGGGGTGAGAGGGGTGCAGGGAGGGGAGGGGTCAGGGAGGGGGAGGAGCCTGGGTTCCATCCCTTACACTGAAAAACAGACAAAATCCCCAAAAATCTCTCCTAGCAGTTTTCAAGTATATACGCATTGTTACTAATTTTTTTTTAATGTTTTAATTTTTTTGATGGTACTGGAGTACTCAGGGCCTCACACTTGCTAGGACAGCTGAGATCACATAGTCTTTGTTTCTTGATTCCTAGCAGACTGCTTGTTATGAAGATAGCACACCTTTTAATGTGTGTTAAATGAAAGCCTGAATAAATACAGGAATGAATGGATAATATAGCTCAATTAAATGTGGTTGAAATGACTGCCATTCTATCTCCTTCTAGAACTCTTCCTATCCTACAACGAGACAGGATAGAATTCACTTAAAAGCTTCCATGAGCCCTAGTTCCCTGCCTGAGGGGAAAAAATAAGGCCAAGAATAATATACACTCAGGAAGCACCACTTGCCCTTAGTCAACATGGCACCCAAAATGAGTTCAGGAAAGGGCGCCAGAATTTAAAAAAAAAAAAAAAAACTGACCTTAGTCAAAATGGCCACCTTGGGCTCAGCTCCAGAGGAATGCGCATGCGGGCTTCAGTCCCCGCCCCCGCCCGGTGGCCCTGACGCGTGCGTCCTAGCGCAGAGTGGGGGGCGTGTGTGGGAGGAATAAATTTCTCTGTGATTGGTTGGTGCAGGATTTCAAACCGGAGCTGGCGGCGCGGTGCGGCTGTGCCGTTGGGTGAGGCGCGCAGCGAAGTGGAAGGCAGTCCAGGTGGGGCCCGGCGCCTGGGTGCTGCGCGACCAGGTGTGTCCTGCGCTAGATTGTGGTGGGAGGGAGAGCGTCGGCCGTGGTAAGGTTCCGCAGCCGCGGTAAGGTTCCGCCGCCGCGGGGTTGGGGGAGGAGGCCGTCGGCGGGAGTCCCTGCGCTAGGGCTTCCCGGGCCGGGGGCTTCGTTTTTTATGGCGTCGGGTTTTGGGGTGTGGCTTGGCAAGCCATTTTCTCCCCCCGCCTCCCAAGGGGCTTTCACTTAAATACAGAGTGTGGGAGTGGGTGGGGCCGTCTCCCCTCCCCCACACCCCCCTCCGTTTCGGAATAACCGGGCGTTTTAAGGTGAAAGCCCGTGTTTAAGGCCGGGCGAGCTGGAATGGAGCCCTGTCTCTGTTGGCTGAGGCCGGCCGGGCAATGACATCGCGCCCTTTCCATGACGATTCTTAACCTCATTTTACACCTTCGCGTACATTTCCGTTCACAGTTGTCTCCTTGATAGACGAAGGGCGTGTGCAAGAAAAGTGGGGTTGGTTGGCAGATAAAGCCTAAAAAGATAAAGAAATGTCATTATCTTTCTCTTTAATATGTAGGGTAAATAAACTTTCTTAGTTGTGGAAGGTGTTTAGAGAAGGCGCCTTCCTATAGCTTTATCCTCCAACAGGTATTTTTTAAAGTGCAAAGTGTGAGTAAAAGGGCTGAGGAGTGGCTCAAGTGGAGAGCACCTGCCTAGCAAGCGTGAGGCCCTGAGTTCAAACCTCAGTGCCACCACATTAAAAAAAAAAAAAGAGAAAAAGTGTGAGTAGAAGACAGTCATATTTGACCTTGAGGGAGTGTGCAGTTTATTTGGTGTGACAGAATTAAAAAAAGATAACTAGTGAATCTGGTAGGCACTGTTGGGAGTACTGTACACTTAGGGGTGGGGGTGGGGGTAAGCAGGGTCTGATATGTAACCCAGGCTAGCCTCCAGCTCCAGATCCTCCTGCCTCCACCTCCAGAGTAGCTGGGAATTACAGACATGCACCACCGGGCCCAGCTAGTACAGCTATTTTAGAAAATATTTTGGCAGTATTAAACAAGAGCCATAAAAGGGTTTTACACCCTGATGTAGTAATTGGAAATCTATTCTCAGGAACACAGTCACTTGGAGAAAAATACTGTCCATAGGGATGTTCATTCAGTGAGTATTTATTAATTAATTACCAAGTGTCAGGCACTGTTGTAGGCACCAGGGGCTCAGCATGAACAAAATGGATAAAAATCATCCTTTCTCAGAATTGAAACCATTGGGGAGCCAGACAATAAACAAAGTAAATATTAGATGGAGATAAGTGCATTTTGGAGCAAAGTAAAGCAGAGAAGTATTGGAGAAAAGGCTGCAGTTTTAAATGGGGTGGTTAGTAAAGACTTCACTGAGGAAATGACATGTGAATAAAGATAGGAAAGAGGTGGGGAAGTGACCACGAGATTCCAGGCAAAGGGGTAACTGGAAAACTAGAAATTATCTAAATAGCCAAAGAAGAGAATGGTTAAATGTTTTGTCCATCAAATGTTTTGTATTTAATGGAAGCATGATAGTAAAAAGTAAAGCACAAATTTGTATATAATTTATGATGACAACTGTATGATGTATGAGTGTATAAAGAGCAAAAGTTAAATATGGAGGTACATACAATTGTTTAGAGTGATGATACTTTAGTTACACCATTAAAAAAAATTCTTTTTCCAGCAGAAATTTAACACTAGGATAGGGCTGGCACATGGCTCAAGTGGTAAAGTGCACCTACCAAGTGAGAAGCCCTGAGTTCAGGAAAAAAAAAATTAGCACTATAAGACAGTGATTTTATATCTGCCAAAGACATCAATTTGTACTGAAATGGTGGTTAGGAAAGGCTTTAGTAATTTGGTAATACTCATTCTAGAACTTGAAAAATGTAACACTTAAGACTGAAAATAATTCACAGGAAAAAAAAGAATTTAGTATGTGGAACTTGTAATAATTTTATGAAAAAATCATAATTCACTCTTTATTTTGGTTTTCATTAATGTTGAGTCAAGGACTATTTCTGCAATTGATGTATTCATAAGAACATTTGGTGGTCCTGGCACTAGTGGCTTAAGCCTGTAATCCTAGCTAATCAGGAGGCAGAGATCAGGAGGATCTTGGTTGGAAGCTAGCTCTGGGAAATAGTTCCCCAGACCCTATCTTGAAAAAACCCTTTAAAAAAATAAAGGGACGGTGGAGTGGCTTAAGGTGTAGGCCCTGAGTTCAAATCCTAGTACCATTGAAAAAACAAAACAAAATAAACATTTGGTGGGGAGCTGGGAGCTGGGGATGTGGCTCAGTGGTAGAGTGCTTGCCTACCACCTACCAAGTGTAAGGCCCTCAGGTTCAATCCCAAACACTGTTAATACAACAGCAAAAACAAACAAAACCAAAACATTAGAGAAACCGTTTGATCTTAAGATAGTATTTCTTCTCCTGCCTGTTGGATAGAGACTTTTGGTGTGGACATTTGGGGAAAAGTATTGTTCTGACATGCAAAAGAATCTTGTTATTGAGGTTGTCTTTGGGAATGGTTTTCCTTGGCAGCGGGAAACCTATATTGTTAATTTCTTGGGTGTCTCTAGATTACCAATGTTTGTGATAATGTTTTTCATTAAAACACTTGGCTGAAAAACTCAAGTAGTCTTCCATTGCTTTGTCTTAACAATATTTAACACCCTTGATGCATCTAAAAAACCCGATGTGTAGGTTTCTTAATAATGTTTGTAGGAGGAGGAAGAAGATAGACTTTACCCTGCAGTAAGATCTGTAATAGTATGTTATTCTGAAAGACTGTCTGTCTCTTGGTTGGGTGATTGAAATTAAATTGGAGGCTCAAAGCAATCAAGGCAATCTGAGACTCTTTCTTAGTGTTGTCAAATTGCTCCCTTAGGGATACTCACAGATTGGGAATCTGTAACATAGTGACTTTTCCACCTTTGGGGCCCCCCATCAATAACAGCTGAGATCCTCTAGCACCTTTTGTTTAAAGTGCTTCACAAACTGATTTCCTTGCTGCACACAGGGATCATTTCAGCTTTCCCAAAAGGCAGCAGCCTCTGTTGTGAAAAGTGACAGCTGTTTTACAGCTGCAAAGCAATGCACTACAATATGACTCTGTTTTCCTTTCCATTCACATTAGTGTATCTCCTAGCTATGGAGCTAAATAATAAAGGGAAAGGAAATAAGCATGAGGGTGAAAATGTGACCCAGCAAGAAAATTAATACCAACCTCAGTTGACATTGAATAGGGATGAGTAAATTTTAGCTTTTTGGAGTTACAATTTGGCTAAGGTATCAAGAGTTAGCAGTGTTGCAGAAAGATATTTTCATCACCTATAAATAATTGCTGAGAGTCACTTCTGTAGAATATTAATAAAAATATATGGTCCCCTATCATATAAAGAGAAAAGTATTATATTTTGCTCCTGCATTTTTTTTTATTACCCTAAGTAAACCTATATTAGAGGAAAAGCTAAGTCTTTTCAGAAGCAATAAGCCTTACCTAGAACAGCTTGCTTTAAGAGCCTTGACCTGGTAAAATTTTTCTATTGCCTTGACTCCCTCTCCCGCCCCCCCCCCCCCACCTCCCAATACTGGAGTTTGACTCTGGGCCTGCACCTTGAGCCACTCCACCAGCACTTTTTTGTGATGGGTTTTTTTGAGATAGGGTCTGGTGAACTATTTCCCTGGGCTGGCTTTTGAACCATGATCCTCCTGATCTCTGCCTCCTGATTTGCTAGGATTCTTGGTGTAGCTACTGGCATCCGGCTATGTGCATCATTCTTTGTATGACACGTTATAATTTGGGGGAGTTGTCTTAGAATGTCTGCAATATATATGGTCTGATAATTTCATAACATTGTAAGCTCAACATTCAAGGTCTTTGAACTTTAGTTGTCCATTGTCTGTAAAACAAAGGTTAAGTTAATCAAATTCACTTAAAGAAAAAAAAATGTGAAATGTAAGTTTAATGCCCAAATCACTTCAAAGTCACCTAGTAAACACTGTTTTCCTTTCTAGCTTTATAGTACTGTTTAAGAAAATAGTCTGAAATTCTGAATTTATCCTATGGGGTGACAGCCTAGACTATGTAGGGAAAATTGCTAGATTTTGTAATCATTGTTCTAGGATATAATTAAGATCTATCAGATACAAAACAAAACAAAACAAAAAATCCACTTTGTACTTTCAGATGAGATCAGGCGTGTTCAGAGTGGTACTTTCACATGAACAGTATTTTTTGATAATAAGGTTCAATTTATGTGTTATAAAATTTTTACCTACATTAATTTAAAATTTTCTGTGAAGTAAGTTGGACAAATAATTGTTTCCATTTTATAGATGGGTCTCAGAATTTAAGTAATTTACTAAAGGTTATGCTACTGGCAGATAGAAAAGCTAAATCCAAAAACTTCTGCCCTACCCTTCTCTCTCTCTTTTTTTTGGTGGCACTGGGAGTTTGAACTCATGGTCACATGATTGCTAAGCAGGCACACTTACCACTTGGTCACTTGAGCCATTCTGCCAGTCTTTTTTTTTTTTTTTTTTTTTTTTGTGATAGGTTTTTTTGAGATAGGGTCTTGTGAACTATTTGCCTGGGGCTGGATTGGAACCATGGTCTTCCTGATCTCTGCCTCCTGAGTAGCTAGGATTATAGGCGTGAGCCATTGTGCTTAGCTCCTATCCCTCTTTAATTGTTGTTTTTTGTTTGGCTCTATATTACATAATAATTAGGAGATTGGATTTTTTTTTTTTTTTAGTGGTACTGGGTTTGAACTCAGGACTTTGAGCTTCCAAAGCAGGTGCTCAACCACTGGAGCCATACCTCCAGTCCATTTTGTCTGGTTACTTGGAGATGGGAGGGTCTCATGAACTATTCACCCAGGCTGGCCTCAAACCATGATTCTCCCGATTGCAGCCTCTCAAGAAGCTAGGATCACAGGCATGCCACCAGCACCCAACTGGAATAATTTTTTTTTTTTTTGTGCTGGTTGTACTTGGGTTTAAACTTTGGGCTTTGCTGGAAATTCTCTTAACAGAAGTATCACGGGTGTGTGTGTATATTCTTTGACTTCCATTTATCAAGTATTTATTTTGTTTGTAAGCATCATGTTAAATCTGAATGTGTATGTCACCTAGTAGTGCCAGATACAAGGTTTCTGTCCTCAAATTTGTAGTCTTCCTGCAACAGAGGAATATCATGTGTTGAGGGAAGAATAAAAATTGATAATTAGATTATTTGTGAAACTCTAAACATGGAGACCATGAAGATCTGACAGAGCTAAGGATTATCTCTTTGTTAATAACAGTGTTAGGAGTTTAGTTAAATTTTCTAGGTACTGTAATAGGCATCAGTGGAGGAGAACAATGTAGATTGCTCTTTGTTATATGTATATCTGTTGCTGTGGTAAAGAGATGTCCCCATGTAGGTTGTCTGAGTGTTCAGTTTTTTTCAGGAATCAGATTCGTGTCTTCAAGAGACTGCTGACCTCTAGTCCTCATTTCAGGGAGTACTATACATAAAGAAAATAAAAATAATGGACTAAAGGAACTTAAGAATCCAGCACCAGTGGCTCACACCTGTAATTCTACCTACTCAGGAAGCAGAGATCAGGAGGATCGAGGTTCAAAGCCAGCCTGGGCAAATAGTTCTTGGGACCCTATCTTGAAAATACCCAACACAAAATTGGGCTGGCAGAGTGGCTCAAGTGGTAGAGCATCCACCCAGCAAGAGTGAGGATGTGAGTTTAAACCCAGTACCACCCAATAAATAAGTAAATAATAAGAAAAAAAGGAACAAACTTGAGAAAATGAATTTTTTTAAGGGGCATGTCTCCATCTATTTCTTCTGCTATAATAAAATGTTGTAGACTGGGTAATTTATAAATAAAGACACTTATTTTTCACAGTCTGAGAAATCCAAGGTAAAGATGCCAGCAGATTCAGTCTCTCTTTTTTTTTTTTTTGTGGTGCAGGAGTTTGAACTCAGGGCCTTGTGTTTGCTACACAGGCACTCTACCACTTGAACCTCTTCACCAACAGCTTCATTCCCTTGAAAGAGTCTGTTTTCTGCTTCTAAGGTGCCTTCTTGCTGTCTCCTCACATGGCAGAAGGGCAGAAAGGCCCAAAAGGTTCCTTTAAGCCCTTTCTTAGGGCATTAATCCCATTCATATCCCAATCATCTATTAATTCTACTGCATTGAGGTTAAATTTCAGGGTGAATTTTGAAGAGACAAGCATTCAAATCATAGAGAGGATTAAGAGTCAGGTCTTGGATGTTGGAGGTGTGGCTCAAGTGGTAGAGTGGAGACACCCTGAGTAAAAACCCCAGTACCACAAAAAAAAAAAAAAAAAAAAAAAAGGTGGTATTGTCATTTAAGACAAAAACTGTGATGGTGGCTCAAGCCTGTGATCCTAGCTACTTTTGAGGATTGTGATACCATAAAAATCTGTACTGTAAAAATTGTGGCCATGTAAAAAGTTCACAAGACCCCCATCTTGTGCAGGTGACCTGCACCTCTCATCCCATCTTAGGGGGGAGCATAAATAGGAGGATCAAGTCTGGCCATGCAGAAAGCAAGACCTATCTCAAAAATACTCAGTGCAAAAGGGCTGGGGGCATAGCCCAAGTAGTATAGAACGCCTACTTAGCAAGTTCCAGGTCCTGAGTTCAAACCCTAGTGTTGCCAAAAAACTCCAGAAATTTTTTTTTGTTGTTGTTTTCCTTTCAGTACTGGGGCTTGAACTCAGGGCCTTGAGCTTCTGGGCTTGCTAGACAGGTGATCTACCACTTGAGCCACTATGGAACCCATGGAAAAAATTTTTTAAAAACCAGTTTTTAGTATCCTCTTGTACAGAAGTTTCAGTATATACAGATGATGTTGAGAAACCAATATCCCAGATTAAAATCACTGATTAGGATCTTCCATTTTTACTGGAGTCAGAGGAAATCATCATTTGAATCAACTATTGAACGTCCTGCCCTGTGGCACTTGAGTGTGTTTCTTTTTGTTAAATCCATGGGTATCTTCCTGACTTCGAGATCTCTTCCTACCGGTTTTAATGCTATTCTTTTGATTTTTCTCTTAGTTTAGAGAAAGATCTTTGTAATAAATTTGTTGGTCTGGTTGCTTAGCAGCTTGCTATGATTATGTAGCTTGGAACAGATACATTGCCATTTGAAGATCTTGGTTTCCAGCCTTGAATTAGGTATACATTGCATCCAAGCTTGGAACTGAAAGATTTTTTCCCCCACTATTACAGCAATTGTCCAATGAGTACAAGTGAATATTTCTGTAACATTTAATAGAAAATATATTTGTGTTCATATTTTTTTGTTCTTTGTGGTTTTTTTCCTTTCTTGCCAACATAGCTTATGGTACATTCTTACAAACATTGCAAAATTACTAACCATTCCTAGTAGAGTTCTGAAAATTTTATTTAGATCTATGAAATAACCACTTGGAGTAGAATGTTGAATAGTAGAGAAAGGAATACTATTAATGGCATTTCTAAGGGCATTCTATTTTCATGTGAAATTTGAGTTTATTTCATTTTTTTGGTAGTTTTCATAACATTCACTGAGTGTCTTTCTTAACTGCTAAATGAAGATCTTATTTCCTCAAGGTGTTCCCAGTTAAAGTCTATTTGGTATGGAACTGCCTGTAAGGACTGTATTTTTAGTGTAATAGCAGCAGGTCTTTGGAGGGAAGCATAAAGCCTGAAAATCACTAACAAGTGATTTTTTTCCTGTGCCCTTCTAACTGAAGGTGGTGTATTGTCTCTCTGATGCTGGAATGTGGTACAACATAATCCTTTGCCTATACTTAGTATAAATTTATTAGACATAGTCCCTGCACGTGGTCCAGCACAGAACCCTGCATTACAGAAATAATTCTTGTGCTGCTGAGCTGGCAGTTTCCCCACTTAATCACTCGTGTGACATCATCTGTGCCATTGGTAGGAAATGTGCTGACCCTGTCCTGCATTTTAAAAGGCAGTTGCAACAGGACATTAGCTAAAAATGAAACTAAAGATAAACCTTTTAAGTTACATTGTAGGTCTTCAAAGTTCAGAAGGATTGAAGTAGCAAAAGTGTTGTATTAATAGGTTTAACTTGAAGAAACCATGTTTTGTAGTTGGTTACCTTGTAATCAACTGACATGCTCATTACTAATTGCCCTCTTCTCAGCACCAGACTGATAGTTGGGTGGGAGTAAGAGGAAGAAGGCAGGGAAGGGGATTTATCTTCAGAGGTCTGAAATGGTTTTCTGGTTTTCAAGTGAGTCTAAAACATTCCAACTTTGTTTTTATAATAAGGATCACACAAAAGAAATATCATCTGTTGACTTGAGAGCCTTATAATGGTACTTACAAGTGAAAGAGCCCAGGTGTTGGTCACTGATGATTATAGTGGATTGCTACTGAATCTTTTGTCACCAGAAGAAGGCAGGACCCCTAATGTGTATTTGGTTTCTTGGCAGAAAGATGGATACTACAATGCTGAATTTGCGGAATCTGTTTGAGCAGCTTGTGCGCCGGGTGGAGATTCTCAGTGAAGGAAATGAACTCCGTAAGTCATTCTGAGCTGGTCTGTGCAAAAAGTAAAAACAGATTTCAGATTTGAGTTTTCTACAAAACTGAAGTGCATAGCAATCTTAAAAGTTGCTTTTCTTTCACCTAAAAAGCAGGTGATGTTCACACATGGTCAAAGCTTCGTGGGCGCTCATTCTAAAAGGGCACTAAATTTCTTTCTATAGCTGCTCTTAAATGGATTTTACCAATTGTTTTCATTGTTAAGGTTCTCTTCCATTGAATAGTTGGCACTGGTTACCAATTTCATGTTTGTACCATGAACTAGAAAATTTTGAATTTCTAAGGATGTTGCCTTTTTCATTATTCTGGCCTTTTTTGTGTTCTATAAAGCATTTCTTTTTGAAGGCGGGACTACGCATCTACTTTTACCTACTTTATACATAGTAATAAGGGATTTAGGTAGGGTGGAAAGTTGGGGAAGAAAAGGAGTTGCTGATAGAAGGGTACAATCTGTGAAGTAATTAGCAAGAAAGGGAAGTGGGGCTGGTAGCAAGGGATCCCTCTCCTACTTCAGACTTTTTCAGTAATAATCAATTTAGTAAGTATTGCTCTCAAGTCAGCCTCACTTGCATAGAAGTAATGCAAGAACTGTGTCTTGAACTTTTCTTTATTTCCATAGTATCTAGTACGGCATCTTGCTTATGCCATTCAATATTTTTTAAAATTGATTGATGCTTTTAATAGCACTTACCCACTTACAGGCCTTTCAGAACAGTATTCTATTTTCTCTCTCTAATAGCTGTTGCATGACCCTGTCATCTGGTACTAGCTCAGTAACCACAATGGCATACTAATCAGGCTTCTCTTTGAGGTCACATCATCTCAGAAGATGGATTACTATGGAGTTTAGTGGGGAAGATGTAGAATAAGTGATCTTTTTTTGGGGGGAGGCAGTACTGGGGCTTGAACTCAGGGCTACTTGAGCCACTGCACTAGCCCTTTTTTGGGAAAGGTTTCTTTGAGATAGGGTCTCAAGAACTATTTCCCTGGCTGGCTTCAAACCATGATCCTTCTGATCTCTGCCTCCTGAGTAGCTACCAGAATAAGTGATTTTATTTATTTATTTATTTATTTTTATTCATATGTGCATACATTGTTTGGGCCATTTTTTCCCCCACATCCCCTCCCCTGTCCCCTCAGAATAAGTGATTTTAAAACTTAGGTTCGTTCAGCAAATATTTCATGAGGACCTATCAAAGCCTCTAGTGCATGTTGGCTTGAGGGAAAGGCACAACTACATGACTTTTTGAAAGAAAGTAGGGTTTGAGTTGAGTCTTAGATGTAGGGTTGGATCCCAACAGGCAGAGATGAAATGTGTTTTAGGTCAGGCAACAACTTGAGTGGAGGCAAGAGGGTTTGAGGGGAATCAGAGTAATGGGGAATGACATAATCAGCACTGTGCTTTGAGAAGATTACTCTGGCAGAGGTGCAGATGGCATTAGAGGGGAGGCTGGGGTCTGACTAGGAAGGAAATGGTTGCTATAGTTTAGGAAAGAGGCAATAAGAGGGATTCCGTTCTTAACTGGAATGGTGCTTGTGCGATGGAAACAAAGGAAAATGGGTAGAAGAGATTGCAACGATAAGACCTCTAGGAGGAGACAGTGATAGGATGTAGGGGCCAAGGGAAGAGTCTGAGGTTTAGAGTCACAGTAACTAGTGTTGGTTTTTAACTTGTTTCTCTGTTTCTTCATCTTTAAAATAGGAATTTAAATGTTTATCTTCTTTGTGGGACTGCTGTGAAGATTTGGGGATACATGGAAATAGTAGCTGTGAAAATGATTTGGGAAGCATTTTCCCAAAGCTGGGCACCTGTGGCTCATACCTATAATCCTAGCTACTTGGGAGGCAGAGATCAGGAGGATTGAGGTTCAACGCCAACACAGGGAAATAGTTTGCAAGACTCTATCTCGAAAATACCCAACACAAAAAACAGGGCTAGTGGAGTGGCTCAAGTGGTAGAGTGCCTGCCTAGCAAGCCTGAGGCCCTGAGTTCAAACTCCAGTGCTGTCAAAAACAAAAAACAAAGAACGGCCCCTCAAACAGGACATTTGTTTTTACAGATCCTTTGTTGTATAACCAAATCTGTAGCTTCCCATTGATTTCTATTTTATAATAGAGGTGGATTGTCCCCCCTTTCCAAATTTCTGACTTAGAACATTGGTGGTTTTTGTTTTGTTATTTTGGCAGTACTAGGGTTTGAACTCAGGGCCTCTTATTTTCTATGCAAGTGCTCTACCACATGAGTTGTGTCCCAGTCCCAGAACATTGTCCCAGTCTCTGTCCTAGAAAACAGTAAAGTTACTCAGTGTTTTCTAAACTCTAAAATCTCCTTTGTATTACTACCTAGTGTCTATCTTCTTAGATCCTAGGAACATCCCTCCTGCCTTTTGTCCACATAGTCCTTGACTCCTTATTCTTACCTTTCATTTTGCCTTTCATCACAACTTCATTCCTCTCTCTCTTTTTGTTTAGTTTTTGTAAACGCTAAGTCCAAGGTTAATAAAGATGAGAATGAAAGCTAGTATTCAAATAAAATGACTAATAGCCTAAATATTTTGTTTTCTTTGTTTTCTCCAGTTTATGTGGCTTTTATCTTCTATTTTTATTTTGTTATAAGCTGCCTGAACGTTTTTGATATTGGTATTTAAATTAGGAATAGGTGTAACCTAATATTTAGCAGGTACCTATTGTGTGTTAATGGCATACTAGATTTGTGCTACACTGTGTATAACTGGATATCAGTTATAAAGCATAAGTGTCATGGTACTTGCTATCAAGAAGATTATGGTGTGTTAGTTTCAGAGACAAGATTTTTTTTCTTGTGATACAAACAGTAGTACACAAATCAAAATAAATATTTAGAATGTCTAGAAGGATTTAATGTGGAGCAAACTGATTAGGAAAGTATTCATAGAGCTCATGGGACTTGAAAAATGGGTATGAAAAGAATAGGTAGGGCATTCCACTTGCAGTGGCTAGCTTGGTCACAAATGAGAAGGCAGAAATAAGTATGGGTCTGTTGTGGGAACAGGGACAGACTGGTTTAACCAGAGAAGGTGCAACTTCTTTCTTGTGTGGTGGTGGGAATGGTGTTTGATTAGATTGGTAAGGTGGGCTTGGATACCTGGAGTTTAATTTTGATCTGAACAGCAACTCTTCATTCACTTAACAAATATTCAAGTGCCTACTATGTACTAGGAAGGGTGCGAGACACTGGAGATAAAAGAGCAAAGGGAGATACAGGTTCTTGCCCCTAAGAAGCTCAGAGGGTAATGAGAAAGACATAGGGAAGAACCTCTCCAAAGGCCCCATAGGGGCCTTCAGTTCACCAGAGGGTGGTGAATTGAAAAAAAAAGATCAGAATTTTTCTGGAACCATTTAAATCAGTTTGCTGGCTATAAACCAAATCTTGTTGTTTTTTTTTTTTAAAGAATCAACGATATCCTCAATTCATTTTAATGAAATTTCTTCTGTTTGGTAAACTTCATAGTTTAGTATATACATAGCTCTTTAAAGCAAGTAATTTAATGAATCTTTTTAATGTATTTCATGAGCAGGACTGGTAACAAGCTGAATTGTGATTCACAAATGGACCCTCCCCCACAAAACAAATAAACAAACATGTTTTTGTTTTGAGACAGGGTCTTGCTGTGTAGCCCAGCCTGGGCTAGTTTGAACTTGTAATCCTCCTGCTTCAGCCTTTAAAGTACTAGATTGCAGGCGTGTGCCACTACGACCAGTTCAAAAAATACCATGATCTCTAGCATCAACTTTTTTTCCTACCTGTAGTCCAAAGTACCACAGATACTTTTCTGGGGGCAATTGGGATGGTATTAGGATTTGAACTCAGGGTCTTGTACTTGTCAGGCAGGTGCTGTACCACTTGACCCATGCCCCACAACCCCAAAGTACCTTTTAATCCAGTCTTAGCAAATTTTGTTCATAGCAGAATTGTACATAAAAGCAATATCTTCACCAGTGCAGGTGTACTGGTTTGGGTTTAACTTAAACAAAGCTGAACCAGTTATTTAATGTTTTGTATTATTAGAATGAGAATTCCTTTCTTGAAACGAACTCATATTTTGTTTGGTTTGGTTTCTGTCTTCATCTAGTTCAGTTAAACCTACAATGTATGCCAGTTAACAGTGAATAAGAATTGGGATAAATGATCCAAACATTGTATGCACATATAAATAAAAGAAAAACAAAACAAAACAATGAATAAGAATTGAAGAATTAATAAGATTTCACAAAGAAATACCTAAAGAACAAAGAAACAAGCAAAATCAGGTTGAATGGAAATCTTTTCCATTCTCAACTTGCTTTCAGTTCAGTAAATACTCAGTTGTATATGTAAAAATATGTTTAGAAATGCCATGTAATTGACTACTGTGGAGCTAGAAAATATTTAGACTGTGTAGTTGAAAAGTGTTTCCTGTTATTTTTTGAAATCATACATTACAAAAGGCTACAAGTCATAAGTGAATTGCTTAATGAATTGTCCCAAGTGAATATGGCCAAGTAAGAAACTCCTGTTTAAGATTTTTTCTTGTGAATCTATAATATTGAAGTAATAAATCTGTAAAATATGTTGTTTTTTTTCTTTAAATGAAAAAAAAAGTAATATATTCCAGACTTTTAACTAGGCCAGTATATTGTTTAAAATTCCTTGCGTGATAATACTTTATTTTTTGATCCTTGATATTTTCATTGTCCAAAATAGCTATGTCATAATGTCCTATTTTGATACAATTTATTTTCTAAAAAACTAAAGTGTCCTTATGACTTGATTTATTTGTTTCTTCCTTTTTTTTTTTTTGTGATACTGGAGTTTGAATTCAGGGTTTTGTGCTTGCTAGGGTTTTGTTCTCTGTTTCAGCCATGCCTCCAGCCCATGACTTATTTCCTTAGAATGAATTGATACCTAATTTATAAGTTTGGAATTTAGTCATTAAAATTGCCTTAAAAGGACATACATTGTTTCTGTACTCAGGTTAAATTCAAATAGGAAAAATGTCCTTACTACTTGAGACTCTCCTACTTTTGTGTAAATGTGGCCTACTTTCAGCTGTAAACTGGGTTAGTTTGACCAGCAGCAGATATACACCTGGGAACATTCCTCCATGATGTTGGTGGAGAGTGAGGCTTAGAGATAGATTGAGGTTAACTAGAAAATTGTAAGACACTTTCGCAAATGCTTTGTAAAAGAACAGTATTCACCAATAGCAGATGGTAAGAATGAGTGCCACCAGGGTTATCTTGCTCTGAGGTGCTGCCTCGAATGTGATGCTGTGTTTGCAGATGTTTGAAGAGTCCATTCTGTTATCAGTGACTTTCTAAGAGCTAGTGTGATCTCTCCTGTTTTTCCAACTGAAATGTTTACATACCCTTCAGGGCAATGTTAAACAGCAAAAGCAAATTGGCTCTTTATTTTCAAATCAATATTTGTATAATTATATAGCTGGATGGAATTGCAGGCTTAGACATCTATAATATTAATCTACATCTACTGGAGCATATTACAGCAGTTACCTTTGAATTTGCTGTTCAATGTCTATGGTGCAGCAATGTGTGACTATAAGGGAGGCTGTTTTTGTTTTATAGCTGTAACTGTCCTGGTGCATGACAGCTGCCCCAGAGGTATCCCCCTTTGATTGCCTTCTGTTCAGGAGCTTTCAGTGTTGGTGTTACATCTGGAGCCAGGTGACTAATGAGCTACATATTCCATAGCAGATGCCACTGGTAAGCCAAAAGTACCTGGCCTGTTGAATCAGGAATTGCTCTCCATAAAGCTCTCATCTAGAGTGACAGATGTATCCAGGATCTGCTCCCAGTTATTTTCAGCTGGATTTGCCCATAATTTATCTGGTTCCTTAATTATGTATTTGGAGTAAAGCTAACCATAGGGCTCATTTATTTGAGCACTTATACTCTGTTTGATACTTGAATAATTAAAATCTTCACCTTTCCTCAGAATTCATCCAGTTGGCGAAGGACTTTGAGGATTTCCGTAAGAAGTGGCAGAGAACAGACCATGAACTGGGGAAATACAAGGATCTTTTGATGAAAGCAGAGACTGAGCGTAGTGCTCTGGATGTTAAGCTGAAGCATGCACGTAATCAAGTGGATGTAGAGATCAAACGGAGACAGCGAGCTGAGGCTGACTGTGAAAAGCTGGTATGTATTCTTTTGTAGGGGGAAGGGAAGCATCAGCTGATGTTTCCACTTGCCAAATTTACCCAGTTTCTTCTTCCTCAATCAAAGAACTGAAAGCAACCTGTTCTTTGACATCTTGCCCATGATTGGAGCCAAAATTGCAGCTTTTGACTTCCTACTTGTCATAGTTTGAAATTAAAACTTATTTTCTCCTTTAGACTTGAAACTATTAATAGGCAATTTCAAATGAGAATTTAAATAATTAAAATGAAAGGGCTAGGGGTGTAGTTCAGTGGTAGAGTACCTGCCTAGCATGTGCAAGGTCCTGGGTGTTCAGTCCCAAGCACTGCAAAACAAAAACAAATAAACATAAACTCAAACCCAATTAAAACAAGGAAGAAAGACAGGGACATTGTAGTGTCCATCCCACATTGTTTATTATAAATGCTACTCAGAATATCTTTGTCCTTATATAGGTAGTTGTTCCCTTGTCATTGATACAGGCAAGGCAAGTCAAACTCTTCCCTTCATCACTGCTAATTCAGGGTAAAGGCTAGATGTATTGAACCAGTGGAGCAGTGTGACTGACATATAGCACTGTCATTTTGATGTGCCAGGGTTGGTTATGGTGCAAAGGAAAGCCTTTACTAGGAGGGACTAACCCATCTTGGTTCAGTGTTAGATGACCCAGTAAGCTCAAATTGTCTGGTTCCAGTGTGTTACAGCTTTGTATCCATTTTAAAGCATTTTGCTCCACCATTTAGAAAGGTTGGTACCTGCTTTGATCCATAGAAGGAGCCAATAATTGTCTTGATAAAAATGACAGTAAAGTATTTTTGCTATGTGAAATCTATTTTGGGACTCTCCTTTTGCATTAACCTCCTCTCAGAGGTTTAGCAGTTTGATCTAAAAGTCTTACAGCAGAAACACCACTCTGTTCTAGATAGAGTTCATTTTACTAGTCAGAAATCAGAGCTACAATCTGGGCTTGATGTGAATTAATATGCTATTGGTGTAGCTGCCTTCCTGAAGGCCCATTTACATAATGCTGTATTTTAATGTCTTTTGCTTGTCCCATAAATTTGAGGTGAAGCTTTCTCCTCTGGCTAGTTATGATGTTTTACTCTGCTTTGGTCTGTAGGAACGACAGATTCAGCTGATTCGAGAGATGCTCATGTGTGACACATCTGGCAGCATTCAACTAAGTGAGGAACAAAAATCAGCTCTGGCTTTTCTCAATAGAGGCCAACCATCCAGTGGCAATGCTGGGAACAAAAGGTGGGGGAACTGCATCTGTTGTTCTGATCATGAGCAACACAGCTGTCAGAAGTTCCTGTTATCTAAACTCTTAGATATACTGCTTCTGGAGTGTGTGCTGAAGAAAGCAGAAAACGACTTTGGGGGAAGGGTGGTGAGGAATAAAGGCAAAGGGACCTCCCTATTTCTTTTTCTTTTTTATCTCTGCTTAGGATTTTGTTTTACCATGGATAAAATTTTGATGTTGGTACTAAATTGCACATCAATAACTAATCCTGCACATTGCTAAGAAACCTAAAGGTGAAAGTGGCAGTTCAGCAATACTTTCATTGTTTACTCTCTAGAGACCTATCATAACTTTGAAGGGCTGCTGTGAGCCAAGACCAGACAATAATTTTGGTTCCATAGTATCGCTATTTAAAATAGTCTCAGCTAGGCTTTGAATTTAACACCCCCAATACAATAAGTAGGGAAAGGTCAGCACTCTTAGAGCTATTTATTTTGTTGCCTGGTTGTTTCATGGGGAATCTTTATAACTAAGAAGATGTACGGGCTTAATTTCTTAAAAGCCAATGCTAGGTTAATACTCTTTTGTAGAAAGCAGCCACAATTGGGATCAAATTAAACTTCACTTCTCTGCCTTGTGAATTTTTAGTAGCCTGTAGTACAAACTCAGCAGGGAGTAGCACCCACAGCCCTGGTTAGCTTTCATGTGCTGTTACAAGCCCTTTGCTGGAAAGCAACTGTGCTGCACTTGTGCTCTTATCCATACTCCCCAAGAAAACCATAAAAGACAGCCCACCACAGCTAAGGTATAAGCTTTAATTGTCTCCATAGAGAAGATAATGCTATGATTTTGCTCATGTTACGTGACCAGTGGGATTTTACATAACACAGTCTTCTCTGTCTAACACTGTATTTTGTTCATTTAGATTGTCAACCATTGATGAATCTGGTTCCATTTTATCAGATATCAGCTTTGACAAGACTGATGAATCTCTGGTAATAAACATTTGATTGCTAGAATTTTCTACTTTTCTTAACCCTGCTCCCTTAAGAGTATCTCTTCTGTTCACTCCTCTGGCCACCCTTTATTACTGTTTTATTAGTTGACATAGATTCTGAGCTAGCAATTTAAAATATAAATCTACACAAGCTATAAGAGACTGACTTATATGTTTATTTAGTTTCTGGAAGTGAGAATATGGAATTTGGAATTTGGCATGAGGTTGAGTTTATTTTAAGGATCTCTGTGAGCTGCATGTACTAATTGTATATCTTGACTTATTAAAGCCCCAGCTAGCAATTAAAAAAAAAAAAGCCAAGACTATATTCAAGCAAGGTTTATTTGTTTCTTTTGGGGTGAATAGATTTGTGCCTCATTTCTGAATTAGTTTGGTTCTTGAGGAATGCTTAGCCATATCTCACAATTAGAAGGAAACGAAGGTCCTGGGACTTCAGCCAGAAGAATGTGATGAGAATTTCTGGGCAGTATATAATGCTTTGATTAACATGTCTAGCCTCTTTGTTACCTTACTTTTATAGGGGCAGCACCCTCTCTTACCTCATGATGGTGTTTCTGCATAAAAAGTCATGTCCTGATATTTCAGTCTTTGGTATTCAGGAGACTAGCAGTTCATTGATTTATTTGTCTTTTCTGTTGGCTGGCTGTTCCTAGCAAACAAAACAATAAGTCAGAAGAAGTTATTGGTGGTTGATTTTCTAACATAGCAAAACAAATTACAATTACTTATTACATGGCTAAAAATTTTCTGGCAAATTCAATGTTTGACTAGGGGAAAAAAATGACCATTTTATGACATAAATATTAGGCAACTCCTTTTTAAATAAGGAATGATATAGAGTAGGTCTGGGATATATAATAAAACAAGAACTTATTAGCTGATTTGTGAGCCAGGCCTATGCTATAATACCTTTTGTAACTAAAGCACCATAAATTGGGAAGTTAAATTCATTTAGGTGAGCTAAATTTTCTATATGCAACTGTTTCAAGATACTGCGTTTTCAGGGTTAGAGATACTAAAATGAATATAAATAATTAAAATAAATGAATTGAAACTAGACCACAGTAAAAGACAAATAATTCGTCACTGATGAACCTCTTTTAGTGCTGAAGGAAGAGGGATGATTGAGAGACAAAACCTAATCTTGAACTTTTTAAGTGGCAGTGTGGTACAGAACATCTGATTAGACAGTAGGAATCCCTTAAGGGCAAGAATCACATCTAACATGATTGGTATATTACCTAACATTTTGTAACTTCTAAAACTAATTACAACAATAATCAGAAATAAAGAACCAGGCACAGGAAATAATCATGACAGAAGTTGATTCTTTAACCTTTTCTTGTCTCTATAGTATTGATTCCTGATTCTATTATAATAGCTTCAATTTTTTAAAGAAAGCCCACTAACTTACTATATCTCTGTAGCTACAGCACTGGAGACCTTCCCAGTCAAATTGTAAGTTAGATAGTCTGACTCAAGAAGGCTTGCAAGTTTGCTATAAATTTATTTGCTATGGGGTTTACAGGAGACCTAATGAAAGAAATAAATTAATGTAGTGTAATTGTCAACAGGACTGGGATTCTTCTTTGGTGAAGAATTTCAGATTGAAGAAGAGAGAAAAGAGGGTATGTATGGTTTATTTTGCTTCTCTATAAAGTAACAAGAGTTTTCTTGCCTAGCATGGTGACTCACAGCTATAGTCCTAGCACTCAGGTGGCCATGATCATGAATTTGGAGCCAGCCTGGGCTACATAGCAAGTTTAAGACCAAGCTCTTATTATGTAGCTCAGGCAACATAGTAAGACCCTATCTTAAATAACCAAAAAATAAGAAAATTTTCTTTTTCTTTCCTCCTTCCCTTTCCCTCCCTTCTACTGCTTAGCCATGCCCCCAGCCCAAAAAGTTTTCTTTGGAAATTTTGCCCTGATGCTGCATTCCCAACATGTTGATATAGCCATTGCTAAACACATATTACAAGAAAATTCATGCTGTAGGGCAATATTGATAATCCTTGAAGTAGTGAGTCAAGACAGAATTCTGTTCTATTTCATTAGTTTGGACTACATCTCCATTCATAGAGTAGAAAAGGATATACTTGAGTTTATTGTGAGTTGTCATATGAATTTTTATGCAGGACTTCTGTGCTCTAATACAAGCTTCAGATGAAATGTGTGTATAATAGGATATAGAGATCTATTTGTGTGTTCTTGTTTAGGATATTTGATGTGTTTCCAAAGACTTCATGTCCTCAGATAGGATTACAGTTCTACTTTTTCTGGTGCTGTCATCTAAATTTCTCCAAAGCTCAGTCCTCTTTTTCCACAGTACAGCGGGCATTTTTGTGTTTGTACAACTTATTTTTCATGTGGAAACAGGCAATAAGCAAAACTACATTGTTATTTACTGTAGCTCTGGTTCTTAGGACTTGCATCCAGTTTTCTGATGGAATAATTTTATCTTCTGTGCTTCAGATCTATGTGGTACTAAAGTTTTTGGTCTCTGCCTCCTTTCTAGCGCTCCAGTAGCCGACAGTTCGTTGATGGACCCCCTGGGCCTATAAAGAAAACTCGTTCCATTGGCTCCGCAGTAGACCAGGTACTAAGTCAGGCCAGGAGAAACTGGGGTCTTGAATGCACCAGAGATTAGTGGCCTTACGCAGTAAAATGCCTGAGTCAACATGGCAGTGTTACTTTGAGAGATGTTTGGTGGGAATTTTTCTGTGTAATACGATCCTTATTATCCATATGAATGGAATTAGTATGGTTAAGTAAACAACTCTCAGCTGTAGGTTTGATTGTTTTTTGCTTGTATGTGTACTCTTGTTTTATATATATGTATGTGTATATATATATTTATATTTTAAGTATGAAATTTCAACTTAAGAATATTTTGGGCTAGAGCCATAAGTCGTCATCAAGACTCAAGAATTTTTCACTCTCTCCAAAATACCCCATAGTGGAGAGAAACTTAAGACACTTTATGTTCATCCTTCTTTCTGTTGCAGGGGAATGAATCCATAGTTGCAAAAACTACAGTGACTGTTCCCAATGATGGTGGGCCCATTGAAGCTGTGTCTACTATTGAGACAGTGCCATATTGGACCAGGAGCCGAAGGAAAACTGGTCTGTTAGGTTGTATAGTGTTGGGTGTGGTAGCTGTAATTCCCAGTTATTGGGAAGCTAAAGCAGGAGGATTGTGAGTTCAAGGACAGCCTGGGCCACATAACGAAGCCCTATCTCTTGTAGAATAATTAGCCTGTGTAAAACCACTGGTAAAATTCAATATATTTAGTTGCACTAGGAGTGTGGCAGCTAGGTAGAGTGGCTGCCTAGCAAGCATCAGGCCCTGAGTTCAAACCAGGAATGTATTGTAGTGGATAGTTTCTTACTGTTATCTACCAAAGAACAGAGATGTTTGTTTTACCTTTGGATAACTTGTCTGGTTTGTGCCACTGTTGGTTATGGTTATAGATTATTGCTTATCTATCAGTTATATTTTTTAAAAAATGGGACTAAAACTTAGAAGGAACAAAATACTTAAGACAAATCTTGAATTTGGTTGTTTTTAAGGTACTTTACAACCTTGGAACAGTGACTCTACCTTGAGCAACAGGCCAATGGAGGCAAGAACTGAGACAGACAGTTCAGGCACTCCACAGACTAACGGAGGGATGCGGCTGCATGACTTTGTCTCTAAGACGGTAAATCTGATGGCTCTGTTTCCTTTATGCATTTATTTGTTTGTTTAATTTATTGTGAGACAGATCTCACTATGTTGCCCAGGCTGTCCTCAAACTCATGGCTTGAGCCACCATTCCTTATCCTAAAATGAAGAGAATAAAATCCACTTCATAGAATTTTTGTGAGAATTACATTTTAAAAAGATGTAAAAGGCTTAAAAAGTTGTTTGTCAATACCAAGTGCTCAATTTATGTTGATTGATAATATTTTTATAATTCATATCACTGTGTTTCTTCTGTCCTGTTTCATCCTCAGGTTATTAAACCCGAATCCTGTGTTCCATGTGGGAAACGGATAAAATTTGGCAAGCTGTCTCTGAAGTGTCGAGATTGTCGGGTGGTCTCTCATCCAGAATGTCGTGACCGCTGTCCCCTTCCCTGCATTCCTACCCTGATAGGAACACCCGTCAAGATTGGAGAGGTATGACTCATGGGAACCATCATTGTATGACTTTTTAGCCTTTCATAGGCTTAATGTCAGTTTTATTCTAAAATTGTTGATGCCAAATATATTTTCTTCCATTAAAAATGAATAGAAATAGTTAAGTATTAACTTGTAGCAGAGTTTTGTTGGGGTGTGTCTATTCAATAACCTTTCTAAACCAAGCTCCTCTTCCCTCCCCTCTCTTTACTTCACTTCCCTTGTTCTCTCCCCTTCCTTCTTCATTTTCTCCTCTGGTCCCATCCTGTCCTATTTTGGAAAATTTCAGACATTTACACAGGCAGACAGATTAGTATAGTTAATCTGGTTCCTGTTGCTTAACTTCCATGATTACTAATTCACATCTATTCTTTTTTTTTTGATACTGGGACTTGAACCCAAGACTTCCCAATCTCAGTCTGCCTGAGCTACTGGTGCCCAGCCGAGAATAGGAATTTAAAAGTTGACATCATGTCCCAGCATGTGTGTTACTCTGGAAGTGGTTCTTTACACATAGTCTTCCTGTGAGTCTTAAGTGGTATGAATAATAATTTAAAGCCCTCTTTTTCAGGGAATGCTGGCTGATTTTGTGTCCCAGACTTCTCCAATGATCCCCTCCATTATTGTCCACTGTGTGAATGAAATTGAGCAGAGAGGACTGACTGAGGTAAGAATCAACCTAGGACAGGGTGAATCTGTTATTTGTGTTAGTAATCAGGAGGTTCTTAAATAAAAGTGTCATTTTGAAAATAGACAGGCTTATATAGGATCTCAGGCTGTGACCGGACAGTAAAAGAATTGAAAGAGAAATTCCTCAGAGTGAAAACTGTACCCCTGCTCAGCAAAGTGGATGATATCCATGCCATCTGTAGCCTTCTAAAAGATTTCCTCCGAAACCTCAAAGAACCCCTTCTGACTTTTCGGCTAAACAAAGCCTTTATGGAAGCAGCAGGTAAGAGCAGATTTTAATACTTGAATGTGAGTTCTAACAGGACTGGAATTTTTTTCACACTTTTTACTGTTTTATCCCTTGCCTATTATAATGCCTCAAACAGTAGATGCTCAACTAGTTTGTTGGTTGAATAGCTGCATCTGTGTCTCCCATGTCTGTTCTTTTCCTTTTTAAACTGTATAGGATATTAACAGGATTTGTTATTGTTGCTCTTGTTTTTTGGTCAAGTTGTAGGGTTTTTTTTTTTTTTTTTTTCTGGGCAGTACTGAGGGTTGAACTCAGGGCCTTGCACTTGCTAGGAGGCGCTTCTACCACTTGAACCACACTTCTAGCCCTTACTATGTTGATTAATTTTGGTTAGGATCTTGTGTTATGCCTGGGCTTCCTGGACCTCAGTTCTCCTATTTATGCTTCTTCACATAGCTGGGGATGACAGGTACATACCACCACACCTAGCAATTGAGGTCTCTTGAAATTTTTGCCTGGGCTGGCCTTGAACTGCAATCCTTCTGATCTCCACCTACCAAGTAGCTAGGATTACAGGCTTGAGCCTTAGGTTGTCCTTTCAAAATTAGAAGTATCTTTGGTTCATTTTTCTTCCACCCTAAGTCTTGTCATCAGTCTTATAAAATATATCTTAAATTTTATACTTGTCAAGTAGTAAAAGTACTATTACCTTTCATGACATACTCTTCCCCTGGAACATGATAAGCTTGTCCTGTTTGTATTTACGCCCTCTAAGTATGCAGTATGATCTTGATACAGGAGCTAGAGTGATCCTTTTTTTTTTTTTTTTTGATGGGACTGGGGTTTGAATTCAGGGATTCATGCTTGTAAAGCAGACACTCTGTCACTTGAGCCATGCATCCAGTCCATTTTGCTCTGGTTATTTTGGAGACAAGGTCTTGAGAACTGTTTGTGCAGGCTGGCCTTAAACTGCAGTCCTATCGATCTCAGCCTCCCAAGTAGCTAGGATTACAGGTGTGAGCCATTGGCACCTGGTTATAGAATGGTCCTTTTAAAATTTTAAGTTAGATGATGTCCCTTTTGTCTATCTTCCAGTGCCAGATGTCACTTTCAGAATGACATCTACAGTCTTTAAAATGGCTCAAGAGATCCTGTGTGATTTGGGTCCTGTTACATCTCCAACACCATTTTGCTCACCACTCTTCCCTGCTCTTTTTGCTCTCATTATCCTGGAATTCTTGTATTTCTTAGAATGTACCAAGTTTACTCCTCACGTTGTCATCTACTGTTATCTCAGCCTCCACTGCTCTTCCTATATGGTTTGCTCCTTTATTTCTTTCAGGTTGCTCTTCAGCTATCTTGTTCTCAGGAATATCTTTCCTGACCACTTTGGCTAAAATAACAGCTCCCTTTACTTTCTAGCTTCTTGCCTGTTGTATTTTCTTTAAAAAACAAGCAAACTATATATATATGCCTAATATTTATTTGCTTTTTGATTAAGGCAAGGACCTTTTTTTATCTGCTTTATCTTCAACACTTAAAACTGGTACATAGTAGGCCCTTAAGCATATCTTATGAATAAGTACCTTCTTGATAATTGTCTTTACTGCAGTTGTATGTCTGTCTTCCTAGCAAATGGGTTGCCCCATGCTTTCCCTAACTGCAAAGGTGATTTTTAAGAAGTTCTGACTTTAATATTGAGCTGTTGGCCAGTGTCCTGCTTGTTAATGAAACTGGAGTCTGATGAAGTCATGATCTTAATCAGAAGTTTCAGAAGCTTACTGTATAGATGAGACTTTGTGGTCAATAACTTGGAAGCCTGCTGTCAAGGGAAAGAAGGCTAGGCCTCTTGGTACTTTCTTTTCATTTACAGAAATCACAGATGAAGACAATAGTATAGCTGCCATGTACCAGGCTGTTAGTGAACTGCCCCAGGCCAACAGGGACACATTAGCCTTCCTCATGATTCACTTACAGAGGTGAGTACAGCAGAAACTTGTTCTGGGAGTTAGGGAATTTTCCAAGGAGAAGATAATGTGGGCTGGGTGTTAGGAAGTATGAGAGGTGAATTATTTTCTTGTAGAATTTCTATTTTAGTCTGCATTTAAGCAGAGGAGCAAGTCTTCTAATTTAGTACTCTTTTGCTCAGAGTGGCTCAGAGTCCAAACACTAAAATGGATGTTGCCAATCTGGCTAAAGTCTTTGGTCCTACAATAGTTGCCCATGCTGTGCCCAATCCAGACCCAGTGACAATGTTACAGGACATCAAGCGTCAACCCAAGGTAGGCATGTGTGTGTGTTTTATATATATAAAATATGTGAACTTGTGCAGTGTAACAACATGAGAAAATGATGAGAAATCAGCCGTGAATTTTGGAAGCTTGCAGACATGTTTGGTGCCTTTTAGGTGGTAGAGCGCCTGCTTTCATTGCCCCTGGAATACTGGAGTCAGTTCATGATGGTGGAGCAAGAGAATATTGATCCCCTGCGTGTCATTGAAAACTCAAATGTCTTTTCAACACCACAGACACCAGATATTAAAGGTCAGGCCTAAGTTGTGCTCCTTCAGGGACTTGATTCTCTTCAGTTTTGGTCATGTGCCCTCTTCCCTGTTTTTGCTATAGCTGTTTGAAATTCATATTCTTTGATAAAAAATTTAATCTTGAAAATTCTAACATTAAAGGAAAATTTGTACAGTCCTACCATTCTAATTTTTTTTCACTTTTCCATGTATTTTATTTTGGAGAGGGGAATAACTGAAACAAGCTAAAGGGATTCTGCTTGCTAGGCAAGCTCTTTATCACTTGAGTCTCAATCACATATTGCTTTTTCTTCCTATATAGATGCATATTTTTAATGTTGATGAAAATAATGGTTTAGATATAATATGTTCTTATTTCACTTAGCATATTGTGACAATTTTTTTGTTTCTATATAACCTTATCATTTTTAAGGTTGTAAGTGATAATTTATGTAAATGTTCTGTTAGGTATTGGCATTATTTTTCAATATTTTATGGTTACAAATATGCTACAGCTACCACTATATGTATATACGCCAATGATAAATTCTTGAGTAGGAATTAAAGAACTCAATCATGAGGGTTTTATTAAAGCTGTACATGTTTCTTGGTATGTTTTACTAACTTGATTTTTTTTTTTCTTTTTTGGCAGAGCTGGGGTTTGAGCTCAGGCCTTGTGCTTGCTAGGTAGGCTCTTATCACTTGAGCCACACCTCTATCCCTTTTTGCTTTTTAGGTTTTTTTGTTTTTGTTTTTTTTTCTTTTTAGATAGGGTCTCCAGTTTTTGCCCTGGGCCAGCCTGGACCTTGTTCCCCTCATCTGCAGCCTCCCACCTAGCTGGGACCATAGGTATGCACCACCATGCCTTGCTTATTTGTTGAGATAGGAGTCTCACTATCTTTTTACCTGGGCTGGCCTTGAACCTTGAGGCCCCAGATTTCTGCCTCCCAAGTAGCTGGGATGACAGTGCCAATTTGATCTCTTAAAGTTTTTTGCCTAGTTATGTTGCCACCAACAGTTTTGTATAAATATGGTAGAAATTTCTTTTTAAGGAAGAATTTTGTTTTTTTCTAGTATACATAAAGATAAAATGTTCAGATGTTAGGTATATGAAGTTTAGAGTTTGAGAATGGTCTAAATGCGGAAGTGGATGTCAGCTATACATCAAGTAGTTGGCCTGCATTGTTCAAAAGGTACATCAGTATGTTATGAAATGATGACAAAAATGATCTGTGAGATTTTGCCAAGTGTCTAACCTTAATTCTTACGTACTTCAGAAGGTAGTCAGCTTAAAACTGGCCATCTTCAAAGATGCTTTCTTCCCCCCCCACCCCCTTTTAAAAATATGTCTGAACTTTGAAGTGAGTTTACTGGGGCCTGTGACCACTCCTGAGCACCAGCTTCTCAAGACTCCTTCATCAAGCTCCCTGTCGCAGAGAGTCCGCTCTACCCTCACCAAGAACACTCCCAGGTGTGTAGAATTGACCCTCTCAGTAAAGAAAAATGACTCCTTTTCTAGCATATTGAAACTTACTGAAAGAAAAATTGAAGTAGATTTTAAACTAAAAACTAGACTTTAAAGGAAACTTGGAGCTGTAAGACCCCTTCTTAAGAAGGATCTGGCTGGGTGTAGTAGTTCACAGCTATAGACAAGAGAATCACGAGTTGTAGGCCAGCCTGGGGTACATAGCAGCCAGGGCCTGAAGTTCTTTATTATTTCTGTCTTTGATTTTGGGTGGCCAAGAATACCTTATAAAATAGTTGCCTAGGTTTTCTATTTTTTGTTGATAATACCAGATAATATTATAGTTGTTTATTTCTCTCTCTCTCTCTCTCTCTCTTTTTTTTTTTCTTACAGATTTGGGAGCAAAAGCAAGTCTGCCACCAACCTAGGACGACAAGGCAACTTTTTTGCTTCTCCAATCCTCAAATGAAGTCACATCTGCCTGTTACTTCCCGGCATTTACTGACTGCAAGAAAAGCACACCTGTACTCTCTGCTCTGCAGCCTCCTGTACTCATTACTACTTTTAGCATTCTCTAGGCTTTTAATCACGTTTAATTGTGCATGAGGGTTTTATTAAAACTATATATATCTCCTTTTCTCCTCTGGTAATATAATATCAGCACTTTGTGCTAGTTGCTGTTGGGAGTTTTTAGATGGGAGGTCTTTACAGGGGTAAAAGGAATAATATAGAATTTGTTGTGATTCTCTTTGGGGCAAGGGGCATCCCTTTGGCCTAAAGCCAAATGATACTCATGGAATGACTTTTCTCTGGTGTTGCTTAGAACTAATTTCCATGAGACAGTGATAAAACATTACGTCTTTGGTAAGAACTTGTCTTGGTGGAGTGGGAGGACAGAGTAAAGAAAGGATTGGTCAGAGGATGTTAGGATGGCTCCTTCTCAGAACTTACAGTGCCCCTTCCCCTCGATGAATTGATCTGTAATGTGGAGCCTGCATTAAAATGGGATAGAACTAGTGGACAGAACTAGTGATGGGAATATGGTTCGCTTTAATTTGGCTTGATTAGGTTTTAATAGTATAAAGTGCCACAACCTTGTAAATGTGATACTTCAACTTGTACTTATCTATCATACTGTCTGATCTTTGGGTGATCAGGGTCAAAGCCAGTTTGTTCTTCTAAAGTTGAATTCATTCTGATGGCTGACCCTCTCACCCCTTGTCCGTTGGAGTCCTATTTTTAAAGATCAGTTTGCTGTCTATTTGGCATCCCAGCTAACAATTAAGAGTAGGCTGTAAGGGAAGATTGTCAATATTTCATGTGGGAAGAAAAGCCACAGTTAGTTTTGTCTTTGCACTTTGGATCCTGAATTTTCCCATGAAACATAGCCACATCTAGATAAATGTGAGCTTTTTCTCTTATTAGAACTATTTCCAATGTCTACAAAAATGATTTTCTTCTATAGAATGTTTCTGACTCATATTAACCCTTGTCTGTAAGACACATATTTGGCATACTATTTGGAAAAAAGTAAATAGCTTTTTCAAAATGTGCAGTTGATTTTTTTTGTTGTTCTGGACAATAATTTTAACACTTTATAGAAAATATCTTTCCTCACAATGTTTTGAATCTGTTTTCATTTCCATTTTGCATTCTGGACTCACCTCAACCTTGCCACCCTCAGGAGTTTGAGTCTCCTCGTTTTTCATTCAGTCTCTCTCTCTTTTTTTTGGTTCAAACTGAAGTCCTAGATTTGTCCTATAACTGTTAATTGTCTTGTTTGAAGAAAGTACTTTCAGCAAAAATCAAACTTTTAAAACTAGCCTCTAGGGACCAGAATGGTACAGATCAAAAAAAAAAAAAAAAAAAATGACCACTGGCTGGCTGCCTGGAACATCCTTAACTGCTGGAAGTGACTCCGGAGTGAGCTGGGATGATTAACTGAGGGCACCTGCACTTGGAACTCTGAAGCTGGTGAGCAGAATGTATTTGAGATTGAACGTAAACAGTTGCAGGCTTAATATGTAACTGTGGAGAGAGGAGGCAATCGACTGGCTTTTTTCCCAGGAGGGGGCAGCTCTCTCAGCAGGACCCATCTGCCTCAGCAAATTGACAGAGGATGGGTCCCATCTCCCCAACCCTCCCCCATTCACACACATGACTGCTAAGCTTTTTTTTTTTTTTTTTAACTTTATCCTAGATGTTACTTCTTTCCTTGTGTCTTTGCAAACCTTGAGTTGGCCTGGCTCCATATTTGCTGTACTGTAGCATCTCCCCAAAGTGCATTTGAAGTCACTAATGTAGAGGAAGTAAATGGATTGTGTAACATTAGTGAAGGCAAGACTACCCTATGCAGGAATTGATGGTCCATAAACGAAAAAGGAAATGGTCCTATGTGTCAGATGTCGGCAGCCAGGTTTTTAGACTAAACCAGGAACCCTTTAGCCATGAAAATATTTCTGATATTAGCAAAGGGGAATATATACCCACTTTCAACTTAACAGTACTTCATGTGGAACAGCTTGGCTATTGAGGGATTCCTAATTAAATTATGTTTCCTTGTTGTGAGATCCGTAGAAAGGGTCCAGTGCTTTGGAGTGGCTGGCCTTCTGTTTCTTGCTCTTAACGCTTTTTGATGCTGCCTCTTACTTCATCTTTGATGCAGTTTAATTTTATTATTTCACTTGCTAATGGGAATCTTTATTTTTTAATTTTTTTTTCCCCTGCATTGAGGTTAGGTTTGAACTCAGCCTTGTGCTGGATAGGCAGGCACTATACCACTTGAGCCTCGAGCCAGCCCTAATGGGAATCTTTAAATCATGGTATTTACGTCTATTCTTAATCTGTGTAAGGATCCTGAGTTTGATGGGTTTGTTTTGTTTTTGTTTATCTCTCAAAAGAAAGATAAGGTCTCACTGTGTAGCTCAGGCTGGCCTGGAACTTGCTGTGTAGTCCTCAAACTCATGATGTCCTGCCTAGTCTCCTGAGTGCTGGGATTATAGGCATATACCTCTGCATCCTGCTCTGAATTAAATATTTTTGTTTTTTAAACTCGACAAGCTTTACATGGTTTGATTCAGCAGCAACAATTTGCACTTGTGACTGTATGCTTAACAATTTCTCCTTAAGATGGCAAATTTGTTGCTTGTAGAGACAGAAGGCAAGAAGACATCTGAGTTTCAATCAGAAAACTTTAGAGTATGCAGTTTACTTATTAAAGAAGAAATTGTCATTTTTGGCAATGAAAAGGGTCTTGCATTCTTAAATTCATGCTTAAATTATTGGGTAGCACAAAATGACATGGAAAGCTGAGTACAGGTAGCAGAGAAAAACTTGCTGCTTTTTGTTTTGTTATGGTAAGGCCTATCTGCCCATCTCAAGCTTCAAATGATAGATACATATACAGTAGTCCTTTTTGTTGTCAAAGGATACGTTCAAGACCCCCAGTAGTGCCTGAAACCATAGATAGTACTGAGCCCTATATATACTATCAGTGCACCATGTTTTTTCTATGTGTATGTTAAATTTTAATTTATAAATTAGGCATAGTAATTGGGGATTGGCAATAATAAGATAATAATTAGGACAATATACTGTAGTAAAAGTTACATGAATGAAGTCTCTCAAAATAGAGTTTGTTTGTGAGAGTGTGTGGATTCTATATAGTACTTGTGACTTTATCATGTGGCCTGCAGCATTGCCACATAGTCACAGAGTTAATCTGTTCTTCCACATTTTATGCCCTGGTGAGTCCTTTACATTTTTATTGGTATAGGTTCCTTTTTTTTTTTTATTCAGTACTGGGGTTTGAACTCAGGGCCTCACCCTTACTATGCTGGAACTCTTAACCATTTGAGCCACACCTCCAGCTCATTTTGCTGTTGTTCTTTTTCAGATAAGGTCTAGAATTGGCCCATGATCTCTAGTAGCTAGATTTACAGGAGCGAGCCACTGCACCTGGCTTGGTGTAGGTTCTATTGGGCATCTTCTACAAAAGCTTGGTTTCATCAAAATTGAAGGTTTGCTGTGGATGGTGCCCTTTCTCCTATGGTGTCCTTTCTCCTTAGTCAATGTCAACTCTACCAGAAATGTGGCAGCAGCTTCTTCAGCAGCAGACACGGTATAATTTTTATACTTTTCAGTCCAAACCTGTTCCTCAATCTGTGTGACCCGTCCCCTCCTTACAGTAAAGGACTTGGCGCCAAGGTTTCAGGTGAACCCTGGTGAAGTTTTCATATAGGCTCGGTGCTTCTGGTACAACCCATTGCTGTCAGTCAGAACATGTTTTTCTATTCACATCTTCTGCCCATAAGTTGAATGCCTTCTAACTAAACACTTTTGCAATTTGAGGTGTGATGTAAAACTAGCTTGATTTTTTTTTTCCTTCACAATTTCATAGATAAACATTTGTTCTTACTGTAGGTCTTAGCCTCATCATACAGTTTTTTCCTTATTAAGTCAAGAACTTTTACCTTTTCACTTGATGCACTTTATGGCTTTGACAGATCCAAATCACCAACATCACTACTTTTGCATATAGTGACCATTATTCAGTAAAATGAGGGTCACTTGAACACGAGCATTGTGATGCCCTGATAGTCATTCTAACAACTGAGGGCAGCATATACAGTGTGATGAATATACTGGGCAAAGTAATGTTTCACGTCCCAGGAGGACAGCAGAATGCCATAAGAAGTCACCACACTTACTAAGAGTAGTACACAACTTAAATCTTAAGAATTGCTTAAGATACCTTAAAAGCAACTGAGGCCAATAGGAAAAGGGGACCAGGAACTAGAGAAAAGGTTAGATCAAAAAGAATTAACCTAGAAGGTAACACATGCACAGGAAATCAATGTGAGTCAATTCCCTGTATAGCTATCCTTATCTCAACCAGCAAAAACCCTTGTTCCTTCCTATTATTGCTTATACTCTCTCTACAACAAAATTAGAAATAAGGGCAAAATAGTTTCTGCTGGGTATTGAGGGGGTGGGGGGAGAGGGAGGGGGCGGAGTGGGTGGTAAGGGAGGGGGTGGGGGCAGGGGGGAGAAATGACCCAAGCCTTGTATGCACATATGAATAATAAAAGAAAAAAAAAAGAATTGCTTATTTGTGGACTATTCCATTTGATACTTTTGGATCCTAGCTGACTATAGGTAACTAAAATTGCAGAAAGTGAAACCACAGGTTTCACTGTACCTATATCCAACAAATTATGATATGCAAAACGGCATATGACTTCCCATTGGAAAACATCTAGGGGATGCACTGCTCTTCTTGGTATGCTGAGTGGTTTTCTTAAATGTGCATTACCTTTCCATGGCCTCTCAATATGAACAGGAAAGAGCTCTTGTAGAAGTCCAGTTTTGAGAAATGAGGGTAGCATAGAGTTCAGTGTTCAAGTCAGCACAGCTCACACAGTAGGTTTTTAATAGATGTGCTTTGATATTTGATAGGGTCTTGGTGATGACTCAGGTTTCAACCACTGGTGTGGAAAAACTTTAAAGCATGCAAAGTTGGGGCATATTAGCATTGTGCTTTTAATGTAAACAGAATTTGGAGAATGGCCACTTAACCCAAGAACTTAGTAATTTTTTTTAATGTGCTTCCTGTAGCTGGCATGTTTTGTAAATAAATGAAGGCGCCAGGCCAGGAACTCCCTAATTTGTGTAATTTATTAGACACTGGTTCTCAGAACTGTATTTGTTGATGGTTTCTGTTCACGTAGTCAGGTGGAAAACAGCTTGACGTCACCAGAAATAACCTTGTAGTGTGTGAGAGCTTTGTCCTCTGCAGTCATGTGGGACAGGAAAAGGAGGCTGCTTTTGGTAGACTCATAGTTGGAAGCAGGACTTTTTCCTTTTATTTACCTTCTCCTCCATACCTCTTCCATGCTTCATTGATTTTTATACAGTCTTACTCTCATATCTCACATATTTGGGCTCTATCTGTATGTTAGGCTCAGATACATATAAATGAATATTTGGACTTCTAATAAGGCACTTGCTAGTTACTGTTTTCTCCAGTCATCACTGAAGATAAAAGTAAGATTCTTCTTAAAATCTCTAGGAAATGTAATACTATCATTTTCAGAGTGCTATCTATCACCTACTTAATTTTACCACGTTCCTATGAGATTGGCAAGACAGGTAATACTGTCCTAGTTGGCAAATCCAGAGAGGTGATTTGGCCCAAACTCCACAAACTAATATATACTTTATCTGAGATTGCAACTCTTAGTCTGGAGGTCAGCCATGGTGCTTGCTGTTTCAGACTTCTTCAGCATTGTGGGACCTGTTAATAATGTATTATAAGGTATTCAGTGTTATCAGGTGGCCATTTCTTATGTCCATTGTTATTTGTATCCCATGCAAGGCAGAGTCTTGTTCTGCAAAGTGAATAAATATAAAATGAGCAAAGCTGAAGAAAGAGATGATCATTTACATTTTAGGAGTTCTCCCCATTATTGTGAATTTTCTTTTTTTTTTTTAAAGACAGGGTCTCACTGTATTGCCCAGGCTGGTCTTGAACTCTTGATCCTCTCACCTCA